GAGCTGAAAACTTTAGAATGGGATATCCTTAATCCCGATCTGTTGACTTATCTGGAGATTAAATTCATGAGGAAAACAAGCCATATTTAATCTGGAGATTAAGAAAAAGAGTGGATTAAGCATTAATCCTGATATCCACCATTCTAAAGTTTTCAGCTCGGAAAATATAAATATAGTATGGCAAAGTGTACAGTTTACAGAATGGATTTTGGGAATTTTTCTGTCAAAACCCGGACATTGCTGGAAATGGGTGAGTAAAAGTGTGCCCCTTCTTAACATTTATTTGAATGTAAATAATCAAAGTTCCGGTTCTATCTATTTTGCAACCCCCAGTTTTCCAGGGAGGGGCACTTCCTCCATATTTTAAAGGAGGGGCAATTCTGACAAATTGATTTTTAAATCCTTGCAAGTCACATATTTTGAGAGCTCTGCCTGATACAAAATAAACTACGCAAAATTCAATTATAACTTAAAGATATCAATGAGTTTTAGCGCAAAGTCGACGTTCAAAATCATGAATTTCAAAATTCTATAGTAAACTAATTAGTTGTTTAGGAACAGGTTGAGAAAATAAAAATGAATTTTATCATCGAAAATGAGCAATCTTATTCAATCATTAGTTTCTATAATCTCTTATTATTCACAAAGATTTTCTGGAATTTTTATTTAAAAAAAAAAAACATTTGAAGAATTTGTAGAAATCTGCGAATAAATTCATAGAAAATAAGAAATTCAATATAATGATGAAAACGAAATAATTGATTCTAGCATTGATTTATTGACAAATTTCTTTTGAGAAATATGTTCCTAAACATATAATTAATTTACCGTAGTTTTTTTTTACATTTTTTGTCGTCGTTATTTAATAATTAAAAAAAAACGATTCTCAAAATTCCTCTTNAATGTTACCCATCTGGTAGAATTCGAAGTAGGGTCGAGAGGTTATCATGTGTCTACAACCTAGGTTGTGTTTCTAACGCAATAAAGTGCTCAAGTACATTTATACACACCTGCATTTTATTCCAAGGAATTACAGAAAATATTTTCCAGCAAGTATAAATACGTTTATGCAAAACTAGGAGCAAAATTGAAAGTACTTTTTGAATTTGATGTTTATATTAGTAATCAGCAGACAGATGTCCGATTCACAGCAGTACACTAGCAACTTTTACCTGAGTAACAATTAGGAAGATATATCGTAGGTTTTCCATCTTGAAAATGTTACCTGAGTAACAATTAGGAAGATATATCGTAGGTTATATCTTGAAAATGTTATCTGAGTAACAATTAGGAAGATATATCGTCGGTTATGTATTGAAAATGTTACCCAAGTAACAATTATGAAGATATATAGTAGGTTTTGTATCTTGAAAATGTTGTCTGAGTAACAATTAGGAAGATATATCGTCAGTTTTATAACTTGAAAATGTTATCTGAGTAACAATTAGGAAGATATATCGTCGGTTTTCTATCTTGAAAATGTTACCTGAGTAACAATTAGGAAGATATATCGTCGGTTTTCTATCTTGAAAATGTTACCTGAGTAACAATTAGGAAGATATATCGTCGGTTTTCTATCTTGAAAATGTTATCTGAGTAACAATAAGGAAGATATATCGTCAGTTTTGTATCTTGAAAATGTTACCTGAGTAACAATTAGGAAGATATATCCTCGGTTTATATATATTCTATCTTGAAAATGTTTGATGCACACAGTTGCCTTTACTTTCTCTGAAGCGTACGTCATATGTGAGTCACTCTTCCAGATAAAAAATTATTGAAAATAATCAATTATCAGCTAGGAAAATAAGGATTTATCATTTATCTATGAGCAGGTAAAGATACCCTACTGAAATGGACATGCCACTCATCAATGGAGACAGGAGGGATCATTGAAATCACGTTTTCGGTCCTTAAAAAAGAAAAAAATTCTAATGATTAGTAATAAAAAATAATAAGTAAACAAATATTATTTCAGATTGGAAAATTATTAAAATCAAAAAACAAATTAATATAAAAAAAGACTTTTTTACTTATTAATAAAACTTGATTTATACAAGTTTTTATTTTTCTATATTTTGTTAAAAATGGTGTAATAATATTGCACAAGTTTACATGGCAAGAACTTAAGGATTTCGATATATCACGGTACATTCCAGTTTATGGCATGTACCGGGCCGAATTTTAACTAGCCTGGGCAAGCATGGTACAACACAAATACAGACATGAGGCAAAACGGGACTGTACGCCAAATGAATGATCCCCTTCTAGTAAAATTAATTTGATATTATTTATAAAATGATTTAGATTTATTCAGAGTTTTAAATTAAATTTCTAATTTATTTTGGGATGTTTAACCGACGATATTAAAAAATATTTTTTTTCTGTATATTGCAGAAAAGAATGATTTATATAGAAAAAGAATACTTTGGTAATGACAACTTAGATCTATTTGTATTTCTTCAGTTTGATGCACTAAGAACTCTGTATCTGTATCATGACGAAAAGTCCTATTGCGATTTTTGGCGCACTTCCTTTAATCTAGTTTTAGTATCTCATTTCAAAGTTTCTTATACGGTTATATGGTGAGACAATACTAATACTAAACAAGCTGGGTTTACAGAGTTTACACCCCCGCTACTACTAACTTCTAAATATTAGGTTTTACACAAGAAATTTAACATTTTACAAGGAAAGGAAAGGAGGCAGGAATCCCTCATTTCGCACGGAAATGACAGAATAAATATGAAATTGAGTTTCTTTGCAAGTTCTATGAGTTTGTTGGAGCATATTATAGAGATAAACTGGTAATATAATGAGTTATATTGTACTAGACTATTCAATAAAATAAAGAGATATGGTTTTACTGTAGGTTTNGGATGAAGAGAAGGAAGAAAGGATGAAGATAAGGGAGAATGGAGGAGGAGAAGGGTGAATGGATGAGGAGAATGAAGAATGGATAAGGAGAAGGGAGAATGGATGAGGAGAATGAAGAAAGGATGAGGTGTAGGGAGAATGGATGAAGAGAAGGGAAAATGGATGAGGAGAAGAAATAATGAATGAGGAGAATGAAGAATGAATGAGGCGAAGGAAGAATGGATGAAGAGAATGAAGAATGGATGAGGAGAAGGGAGAATGGATCAGGAGAAGATAGAAAGGATGAAGAGAAGGGAGAATGGATGAGGAGAAGAAATAATGAATGAGGAGAATGAAGAATGGATGAGGCGAAGGAAGAATGGATGAAGAGAAGGGAGAATGAAGGGAGAGAATGGATGAGGAGAATGAGGAATGCATGAGGAGAAGGGAGAATGGATGAGGAGAAGGGAGAAAGGTGAGGAGAAGGGAGAATGAATGAGGAGAAGTGAAAAAATTAAGATAGTGACTTTGCTAAGAAAGCTTTATAAGTTAACAGTTGTATAAAACTCTGAATGTAAGAAAAAAGATTGAGTCAGTTCCTTTAATCGTCTCTAAAGGCAACCCAGTATAAAAAATATACAGGATTACCACTTTAAGATAAGACCTTACAGACGACTGTGCGGAATTTGTCTGTTTCCTTATATTTATGATTCGAACTGCAACTGTAAACTGGAATTTATTTAAACAATTATTAAATAGATCATTAAAAAAGTTACATTTTTAGGGCGGAAGACATAATTTCGATCGTCATATTTCAAGAGTTTAGGATTTAGTCTAATTCTTTGTGAAAAACCCTGTATTTATAGAATAAATATATATATATATAAATATATATATAGACACACACACATATATACATATATATACTATCCATCTGCAAAGTTTACCTTGAAACACCGTTAGTTTTCTGTGTGTAAAGAGCGAATGTATTTTCACCAATATATAAACTACAGATCATACAACTAGAACGTTTTAATCTTTTAATAATAAGTGAAAATTATCTGAAAGGCTAGGTCGTGCCGGGTAAATTCAGACGAGTCAGCTGTCGGAATGCACAGCCCGATGTCCACAACGAAAACTGTTTGCAATATCAAATATTAAGTTTAATAAGAAAATGAAACTATCAAGCTTGTTGATTATTTTACTGCTTCTACTACAACACAATAAAGGTGAGGCGGTCGAATTACAAAAGGCACTAATTGACAGGCACTTCCAATTAAAAGGGGGTATCCCTGATTCCCAATGGTACCCAGTAATCCTTTGACTGATCAACGATGACAGACTTTTTTATTTAAATCTAACCAGATACGGCTGTAATTGTTGAATACTTTATTTGCAGCTGTTTTATACAGGGTGTCCCACATCAAATTAGACCGCGTCAATGGGTCTAAATTACGATTTGGGGGACAAATCAGAAAATTTAAGAATGAATAATTTTGAAACATTTAATAAGGCTAATAGAAAAAAATGTTGCAGAAAATGCTAGGTTTTGTGAGTATTATGTGCGTATTTTGGCGTTGAAGATTGGATATAATCTAATATGATATGGGACGCTCTGTATTTAAAGAATATTAATTTTTTATATTAATATTAGTTCTTAGAAGGAAATAAATATAAATAACCAAGTTGGACACATTTTAACCCATCCAACTTTGGAGACATTATTATAATAATGATTATAACAATTTCTCAATCGTTTCTGAAGCTATAAAAGTGCAAGTCCCTTTTGTAGAATGATTTCAAAAATAAAAACATGGTTACAGGGTGTCCCACGCAATATGACGACTTGAACGTCATTTTTGATCTTTGAATTTAATTGTAACATTCAGTCGTCAACCTACTTCAACATGTATGATTCTTGAAACAATAACAGCAAAATTCTCTTAGTCCTGCCATTTCCAAAATGTGGTCTGCCTTTTTTGTGCTGTGAATATTACCGGAGATATTAAGAATTTCATTCAGATTTCAATTTGGTTAAATAAAACCAAAAGTGTCTAAATCTGAACAAAATCTTTCATATCTTGGGTTTTATTAAATGCACAAAAAGGGCAGAGCACATTTTGAAAATACCCGGACTAGGGGTATTTTGTGATTATTATCTCTAGAATTTTACTTCTGAAATTAGGTTGATAAAAAATGCAGAAAATTAAATTAAAAATCAAAGACGACGTTCAAGTCGTCTTGCTACTGTCATGCTTCGTGGGACACCCTGTCAATAATTCTTACTTGAGTTGACAAAGCTTTAAAAGGTGCCGCTGTGAATTGAAAAGGTCCTTCTATTCATGGAGGGTCACTTAATCCCGCAGATTCAAAAACTATCAAATTTAACCTCAGCTGGGAACTTTTGAATGGTGGATATCGGGATTAATGCTTGATCCCCTATTTTTCTTAATCTCCAGATTAAATAAGGCTGGTTCTCCTCTTGTTGTTAATCTCCAGATTAATTAAACGATCGGGATTACGGATATTCCATTCTAAAGTTTTTAGCTCTGAAGATATAATTTTAAAAAATAATTCAAACCATGGTTACAAATTACAATTTATACAATCCTAGTAGTGACAATTCAAAATTTAAAAAAAGACGACGACAATCTATTCTCCTTTTTCATGATGACCACTGTATTGTTCTAGGTGCTCTGATGGTTGAACCTAATGAAGGCTTTTCATCAGGTTTTAGATTTCTTTCAAATCAATTATTAATCAGATCAAATAAAGTTAAAATCAATTAATAATCATATCAAATTAAGTTAAATTCAATTATTAATCAGATCAAATTAAGTTAAAATCGATTATTAATCAAATCAAATTAAGTTAAAATCGATTATTAATCAAATCTAATTAAGTTAAAATCAATTATTAATCACATCAAATTAAGTTATTATTAATGATTTTGTTGGAGACAAAAACTAAGTTGACACTTATGACGTCAGAATACAGCTGTACTAAGAGTACACAAATTCTACGTTGCCGTCTATTGTACTAGAATCTATTTGGATTATAATTTCAGGTCGGAGTTCTAAAAAGGGTTCTCTATGCCCTCCTGGCAGTACGTTTTCCACTTTCGGGTTCGCAGCGTTCATCCTCATATCAATCCAGACTGTTATCAATATAGGGACACAAACATCTTTTAACAAACATACTCTTAGCATTCTCATTGCAGTACAAAAGTAACAATTTAACAGTGGAATAATTGTGGCAGTATAGTACAGTGAAACCCTAAAGAACGAATACATTGAAAGAATTCATCAAATGTCGAATTCTTCACTTTCTGATAATGGAATGTTGGAGATATTTAGTTTTTTAATTAAATGATTATAGGGAACTCTTTAAAACTGTTCCCGCATATTCATGGCTATTTATTTATTTTCGCAAATACTGAAATTTACGTAATATGGTATAAAACTCATTGAAAAAATTCTTCCGATGTATTTGTTATTAAGGGTTTCACTGTAAGAACTTTACAAATGCAATAAATGGTGCTTTGAACATTTTCAGAGAAAAGTTGTATAAGTCACGAATTTGAATAAACCTAGCTTTTCTACTTAAGAGAAAGAATGAAGACGACAACAATTTTACTGATTTCTAAATCTTTTACTTCCTGTTTAGCACATTTCTTATTCCTGTCGTCTCTTTTTTATGCTTCCACATCTATTTTCTTTAGTTCTTTTTATTTCATATATGCTACATCTGAACCCTATCTGAACTGATTACTCGCCTCAAACTCTAATGTTATCATCCCTACAACGTTTTTAAAATTGCGCATCCAAAAAATGCCAAATGTTGACACTGTCAAAATTAAAACCTGGAACGATCTAAAAGCAATCGAGCAATAACGGTCGTTTAAGATCAAATATTAAACAATCTCTCTTATTGATTAAATATATAATTTGTTTGATGTTTCAGTCAACGCAACTAACAACAACAACAACAATAACAACAACAACAACAACGACAATAACAACAATGAAAACAATGTAAACTTAAATACAAACAATGTAATGAATTAAGAAAATCAATAAATATATATTTTTAAATATTATTCAAAGTGCATCAAAAAATATATAAACAAAGTGAGATTCGTTGATAAAAGTAAACAAAAAGTTGAAAGGGACTGTAAACTTAATTTGAGGGGACCTTTGACTATTCGATTGGTATGCTCAATAGGTACTTTAAACCTATTCGATATATCCTTGTATTTCAATATAAAAAACGATGACGTTATATTGCGATTTCTCAGGTGACATGCAAATTTATACAGCAAAAAAAGGCAATGGCCAAAATCAAACATTTTGCAAGATATATTCCTCATTGTTACTCAGACAAAGGTTTAAAGGCTGAGTAGGAAATGCCACTTTAAGTGGAAAGTCCCATGAAACTGTCTACAGTCTTTTTAAGTAGAAAGTCTCATGAAACTGTCTACAGTCCCTTTAAGTGGAAAGTCTCATGAAACTGTCTACTGTCCCTTTAAGTGGAAAGTCTCAGGAAACTGTCTACAGTCCCTTTAAGTGGAAAATGAAAATGAATCAAAATCTTAAATAAGGAATACCAGTGTGATAGGTTGAATATAATATAAAAAATCTGCTTCAAATCGGACGACAAGTTTTTTAACCAATCAAAGTTCCTTAATCTGGGTTAAAAATACAATGATTAAAGAATCAGATGTCTAACCAAACAAATTTAATTTGTGAAATTGACCAATCAGGGGCAATTAAATCGATCCAAATCTTAAGAGATTAATCTACAATACAACCAATCAGAGTAGGTAACTATTGCTTCACGTAGTCTCTTATTGCAGAGGTGTACAGCGTACACTGTACAGTGAACATACAGCGTACTCTGTTCAGGATCCAAGAGTTAGACTTCTTCAACAATTGTTCCAGTCAGGGGCTCCTACATTTTACATTATTAAAATTAATTTTATTAAAAACTTAATTGTTTTGTTTTTACAGATTTACATTCTACTTTGTCATTTTTTACAAGACAACTTTTATCAATCATAAAATTATCTTGTTTTTGAAGTTACAAATTTAAAAAAAAAATGGTTCTTGAAAAAAGACTAACAAAATTCAATGATTCATATTTATGTGAGTTTGTAAGAACAGTCTGTATGTCTATCAGAATAGTCTGTTTGTCTATCAGATCAGTCTGAAATCTGTATGTCTATCAGAACAATCTGCAAGTCTTTAAGAACAGTCTGTATGTCTATCAGAACAGTCTGTATGTCTCTCAGAACAGTTTATATGTCTATCAGAACAATCTGAATGTCTATCAGAACAGCCTGTATGTCTATCAAAACAATCTGTATGTCTATCAAAACAATCTGTATGTCTATCAAAACAGTCTGTATGTCTATCAAAACAGTCTGTATGTCTATCAAAACAGAGTTTACGCCTACTAGAACAGTCTGTAAGCCGATAAAAAACAGTCTGTATGTCTATCAAAACAGTCTGTAAGTCTATCAGTACAGCCTGACCATCTATCAGAACAGCCTGTATGTCTATTAGAACAGTCTGTTTGTTTATCAGAACCGTCTGAATATCTATCAGAACAGCATGTTTGTCTATCAGAGCAGTCTGTATTTCTATCAAGACAGTCTATATGTTTATCAGAACAGTTTGTTTGTCTATAAGAGCATCCTTTATGTCTATCAAAACCGTGTTTAAACCTGGTCTTCTGGAACATCAAGAGCATCGTAGTTGTAGAATCCAGCATGAAGGGATATACAGAACAAAGAAGCCCCTAGTATAATTATAGTGCTAATCAGTAAGACCCGGAATTAATTTACAATTAATCAGACGACTGTTTGCAATCGAAATTTACAAATATGATTGATGAAGCGATATCCAAACATAGCCAACATCCTGCCATTTCCAAAATGTAGTCTTCCTATTCTGAGCATTTAAAAATGCCAGAGATACATATGTAAAATCGTCTGATTAACTGTCAATTAATTCTGGGTCTTTCTGGTAATGATTGTAGTATTAGTATTAGTGCAAATCAAGGACATTTTTCTTAAAAAGCATCACCCACTAAAAAATCATACTTTTTCCAATAGGTAGAACTTGAAATTTTGTTGAAATGAATGAAATCTTTAAGGTAAAAAAAAATAAAAAAAATAAAATTTTATAAACTTCTTTCATACAGGGTTATCAGGAAAAAAAGATACGTTTAAGGGAATGTAGAGTGAGACGTAATTTCAAGTGACCCACTAATGACATCGTCTAAGTATTTAAAAGAATAAATAAATTACAATCCCATTGAGGTAAAAAAAAATATTGCGGCATCCAACGCTTACCTAGAACCCAGAAGACGACCCCTCCAGCGCCTGCTATTAGAAGCAGAGGAATACTGCAGAGAAGAACTAATCCGTACTGGCCCGCCAGAGATATCTCATGTCCTGTACAATATAGTTCATTGAGTACACAATATACAGTACAGTACACATGGACAAAGATGTGTTGTCTTTTCAGACGACAATCACCCCCTGCAGATCAGATAAGAGCAAGACGTGCTTGTACATTGTACAATGAACAGAGATTTCATTCAAGTCTACATTTATTATTCAATGGTGTCTTAAAACCTTTCAGCTAACATTTCATTTATTTATGATTGATTCTTTTTAAAGGAACTATAAGCAATAAGCATAATATCAAGTGACCCTATATGCAAAGATAATAATTTTCTTAAAAGCTTTGTCCGATTAAGTATGAATTAGAGTTCTATGTTTTTGTTACTGTTTATTTTCATTTCGGTTACTCTGAGAAAGTAAAATTTCGAGTTAGCAAAACGTTGGTAGCTTCCACACTTATGTAGCATTAAGGTTTCCAGGGTACCGTTGTAAATCGGTTATCACCATCTTTGCATAGAGGGTCACTTGAACAAAAACAGGGAAAACATTAAATTCTGAACTGAATAAAATAATAAACTAAAATAAAGGAAACCTGCAACAGTTATCTTCTGTTCTTGATTCTTTACTGAGATAAAATAGCAGGCCCCACCAGCTGCAGCCATCACAACAAGGAGCAGAGGAGATGTCACCAGGCAGTACACCCATAATACTAGATAGATAGATAGAGGTTACCAGGCAGTACACCCTTAGTACTAGATAGATAGATAGATAGAGGTTAACAGACAGTACACCCATAGTACTAGATAGATAGATAGATAGAGGTTACCAGGCAGTACACCCATAGTACTATATAGATAGATAGATAGAGGTTAACAGACAGTACACCCATAGTACTAGATAGATAGATAGATAGAGGTACCCAGGCAGTACACCCATAGTATTAGATCTGATATTCAGACAAATAAAAAAAATTGAAATCCTACGGTTAAGAAACATTCTTAAAACACTTCATGACTACAAGAATTTAGTTGAAAAAATATTTAATTAATACACTAAACAAAACTATTTAAGAATACGACTAAACAAGAATAAAAGAATACAGTATGATGAAAAATAAAATTACACCAAACAAGACTACAAAAATACAAGTAAACAATATTAAATACACTTACACAAGAATACAAAAGCAGTTAAAGGGAGTGTTCGCGAAAAATGAAAGGGGGTATAGGCTTAATGCGATAAAAAAGCGCTTTTGAACGCTACTAATCTTACTTCTATCTGTTGCGTCTATAAGGAGAAAATTG